TGGAGGGGCTGGAGCGTGGCCAGAGAAGGGCAGTGGGGCTGGGGAAGGGGCTGGATCACAAGTCCTAGAGGAGCAGCTGAGGGAGCTGGGGGTGTCCAGCCTGGAGACAAGGAGGTGAGGGGAGACCTGCTGGCTCTGCAGCTGCTGAGAGGAGGTTGGAGCCAGGGGGGTTGGGCTCTGCTCCCCAGGAACAAGAGGAAATGGGCTCAGGTTGAACAGGGAAGGTTTAGATTGGATCTTGGGGACAATTTCTTCCTGGCAAGGGCTGTCAGGCCCTGGCCCAGGCTGCCCAGGGCAGAGTCCCCATCCCTGGATGGATCTCCACGCCCTGTAGATGTGGTGCTGAGGGACATGGGGCAGTGATGGTCTGGGCAGGGCTGGGGGAACCGTTGTGTTTGATGGTCTTAGAGGTCTTTTCCAACTCAGGTGGTTCTGTAATTACCCAGCACAGCCATGTTCAGGCACAGCACCTGTTGTGGTTTTTAAACATTTCAGTGGGCAATTGCACCTTGACACAATTGCTCAATGAGAAGCAGCTATTTCACCTCCAGATTTGGATCCTTTTCCATGTACACCTGGGTAGGCCAAACCCAGAAATGAGAAACCAGTGGAGGTGCCCAGGCAGTGATGGTGGATTCCCCCCCCCAAAACACAAACCTGCAGAACTGCTGATGGCAGTGGCACCCCTGGCTTCAGATCCAGGTTTCAGATCCACACTCGGTGTCCAAGACACAAGGACATTCACAGCTGGAAGCCACCTCTAGCCTGATCTATAGGGGGAGAGCTGGCATGTCCTTGCTGTGAGGTTCTGTTGATTCAGGGAAGGAAACAGACTAGTTGATATGGAGTGAAGCCAAATCTTCCCAGGAGCGTTGGTGCAGCTACTGGCCTTGAATCGAGGTGTGTTAGACCCCAGTGTGGTCCATACCATGACTCTTTTTCCCCTTTTCTATGCAGTCTGGAGCTGTTCTGATCCTGAAGCAATCTCCCAAGCTTCAGTGGCTGCTTGGGCAATACTTGCCCTGCAGTGGCTGGTGCCACCACTCCAATTTCCTTTTCCTCTGCCCAAAATGCTGTGTTTTACCAGGTGTCTGTGAGTCTGGAAGATAAACACTCCTGAAAAGATACATATGATACTGATTTATGTATTTTATGTTTTTTATACATTCTAATACATATCAATATAGTATTCTGTAGTATATAATAGTTTATTGATACTATTATCAATACTGTTATCTGAGCAACCTGGGCCCTGCCTGTGCTGGGGAGTTGGAACTCAATGATCTTTAAGGTCCCTTCCAACTCTAACCATCCTATTATGATGCTTGTGTTTGTGGTTATATTTTCATGTATTATATTGAATATACAGATGCTTACCATTGCAGCTGTAACTCTTATGTTTGTCTGCTTCACTCTGGAGCTGATGGCTGCCCTGCCCTTGTCTCTCCCAGCAGGAAAGCCGGGGAGGACGCAGCCGCGCTGGCCCCGCTCTTTGGGCCCCCTCTGGAATTGGCCTTTGAGGAGCAGAAGCTGGAGGGTGGGTTGGGGACCACGGGTGGTGAGACTTCCTTTTTCCCCCCCAAAAAAAAACCCTTCCACCTTTCCTCACGGGAGTGGTTTGTTCCCCAAGAGATCTCCTCCCCCTCCTCCTCCCAGAGCCATCCCAAAGTGGCCTCTGCCACTCGGAGCCTCCTTATGCCCTGTAGTTCCTTCTCTTATTAAAAGTCTGTTTGCAAGCAGCTCCCCACACACAAGCTGAGGAAAACAGTGCCAAAACCATAAAGGACACCTGAAGAAGGCTGTTTCCCCTACACCCTGTGTGGCTAGAATTGGATCTTTTCATTTCAATACCCATTTTTTCACTGTGTGCCCTAAAATTATAGACGATTTCTGCCGTGTTTCACAGAAGGTGATAAGCCCCTGTGTATGTAACTGGCATTGTTTTGTTTGTCAAGCAGCATGAGTGTCAAACTAATTGCATGACCTGTTTAGAAATCTGGCAAGCTTCTAATTATCTACCATTACAGAGGAATCTCTGTCTTTAATTAATGAGAGGTTTCAGTCACTGTTTAGTGTCTTTAATGAACACATCTCATCTGCGCTCTTTGCTATTTCTAAGAAAATGGTTTTGTCAATGCCCCTGCATGTGCATTTATTTTATCTTTTGATTTTTCAGCCACTCTAGATCAGCCTGAGATCTGGGGTTCAGCCCAGCCCCTCAACACAAGTGTAGAGTCCCCAAAGCTACCGAGACCTTTTCCAACTGGAAGTAAGTGACCATGCGGGTTATCATCCAAAAATAAATGTGTATATATAGAAATTAAACCAGATCTTCCACTTCTCTGCACCCAGACTCCTGCTCAGTGCAGTTCTGTAATATTTTAATCAAGCAGTGAGTCATCCTTTCCTTACCCTCCCTTCCTTTTCTCCCCCCTCACTATTTGCACAACCCATCTCATGCCAAACCCACCCCAGCTGGTGCCCATGGGCCAAGGCCACCTCACCAGCTTGTGGTTGAAATGGTGACACTCGTGATGGGAATGGTGGCTTTGTGGTGGTTAATGAGCCACAGCATTGCCTCCCCCTGGACTTGTGGGGGCACATGAGAAAAGCAGCTAGAAATGTGCCTGGGGGGCTGCAGGTTGCCATGAAAATGTTAACCCAGGGATGCAAACAGGAGTGCAAGCTAAGATTTAAAAACAAAAAAAATCTAAACCCCCCCAAAAAAGGCTGAGGTGAAGCTGTGCGTGTTCCCAAATGCATTGCCACTGATTTTCCCCCCCCCTCTGCTCTGTTTTGCAGCACCCCCACCCCTCCCACCGAAGAACATCCCAGCCACGCCGCCGCGCACCGGCTCCCCTCTGACCGTGGGAATAGGTAAGAGCTCGGGCTGGGACCCCCTCGTGTGCCACCACACAGCCCTGGGAGATGACCCCCAGCCACAGTAGATGATCCTGTGCCAGGGGCAGGGGGGGGTCGGGTCCTCCTGGCTGCGTTTCAGACCAGGATTTGACCCTCAAGCATCCCCCTTCCCTTCGCACTCGTGGTGCTTCGGCGGGTGCTGCAGCTGGGCTGGTCCTTAGGGAGGATGCCAAGATGCCTTTGGCTCCTGAGCTGGTGAAATTTGTGCTCTCTCCTCCTCTGCATTTGATATCGGTCACTTTTAGAAATGAACTATGGCACTAACCCCAAATTCCTGCTCAAAATCGGGAATAACTGGTGATGCTACTTTATGGTCTGTACTAAGGGGAAAATGAGGCATGTGGGACTTGCCTGTGTCAGGTCCTGCCCTCCCAGATTCCCACTGCTGTCCAGGAAGGTGGGAAATCCTCCCCTATCAGGCAGCTGGGGATGTGGAGGGGGAATGAATCAGTACCTGGAGTAAGGGACAGCCTGAAGGAAGGGGTTGGAAGGTGTTGAGTGCAGCCAGAGGACAGAAAGCACTTTTAAGGATATAATTCATGGTGCTGGGTGTGCTGCCTGCTGGGGCTGCCCAGGTCTGGGGAATGTCCTGTTCCTGTGACAGTGACACTGTGTGCACACCCATACTGAGCTCCTTGGGGTGTTGGGAACAACGCCAGGAAGAAACACCCTGCTCTGAGCTTCCTGCTCCATCCATCAGTGTTTCATTCATCCCCCCATAGCTTCATTTTCTGTTTGCCTCAGCAGCCAGGATGGCAGAGCCTCCACCTACACGTGTAGATACCTCAACACAAGTGATCACAAAGCAAAGCCAGGGGCAGAGCTTTTTTCTTGCTTGCTTTCTTTTTTTTTTTCCTGGTTTAGCAAAACTGGCTTTTATTCCCCAAATGCAGAAGCCCAGCTGGCTGCCCCAAAGCTGGGGGCAGGGGTGGGATGTCAGGGGCCCAGGGCCAAGTGAGTTTTAGCCATATACACGTGGCTGTTGCAGGGCCCACGGGCTCCTCTGCTGCATCTTCTGGGAACAGAAGTGCAGGGCAGGAAAGGAAGGCTGGAGGGTCTCACCTGCTGATGGAGCCTGGTGCTGTGTTGGTGAGGAGGTCAGATGTGAACAGTGATGTGTGGGAGCTCAGTTAGGGACCCACCAACACCTGTACCTGCTGCTGCTTGCAAGCAAAACACATACACCCTGCCTGCTGTCTGCACTGCCCGTGTGTGTGCCCAGCCAGCATGTCTAAGTGGATATATATTTATATGTACATGTGTATAAATATATATAGTGGAGTGTGAGAGGGAGCTTTAGGTGCAAGTTTATTATCTGATAATTATAGTAGCAGCAGCAATAATAACAGTAATCACGATAATTCAGTGATGCTCATGCCTCATGAAGTTCTTCTGCCAACCTGTAAGGAAGGTTGGGAGGCAGCTGGGAGCCTGGCTAAACCCCCCCAAAAAAGGCTGAGGTGAAGCTGTGCGTGTTCCCAAATGCATTGCCACTGATTTTCCCCCCCCCTCTGCTCTGTTTTGCAGCACCCCCACCCCTCCCACCGAAGAACATCCCAGCCACGCCGCCGCGCACCGGCTCCCCTCTGACCGTGGGAATAGGTAAGAGCTCGGGCTGGGACCCCCTCGTGTGCCACCACACAGCCCTGGGAGATGAACCCCAGCCACAGTAGATGATCCTGTGCCAGGGGCAGGGGGGGGTCGGGTCCTCCTGGCTGCGTTTCAGACCAGGATTTGACCCTCAAGCATCCCCCTTCCCTTCGCACTCGTGGTGCTTCGGCGGGTGCTGCAGCTGGGCTGGTCCTTAGGGAGGATGCCAAGATGCCTTTGGCTCCTGAGCTGGTGAAATTTGTGCTCTCTCCTCCTCTGCATTTGATATCGGTCACTTTTAGAAATGAACTATGGCACTAACCCCAAATTCCTGCTCAAAATCGGGAATAACTGGTGATGCTACTTTATGGTCTGTACTAAGGGGAAAATGAGGCATGTGGGACTTGCCTGTGTCAGGTCCTGCCCTCCCAGATTCCCACTGCTGTCCAGGAAGGTGGGAAATCCTCCCCTATCAGGCAGCTGGGGATGTGGAGGGGGAATGAATCAGTACCTGGAGTAAGGGACAGCCTGAAGGAAGGGGTTGGAAGGTGTTGAGTGCAGCCAGAGGACAGAAAGCACTTTTAAGGATATAATTCATGGTGCTGGGTGTGCTGCCTGCTGGGGCTGCCCAGGTCTGGGGAATGTCCTGTTCCTGTGACAGTGACACTGTGTGCACACCCATACTGAGCTCCTTGGGGTGTTGGGAACAACGCCAGGAAGAAACACCCTGCTCTGAGCTTCCTGCTCCATCCATCAGTGTTTCATTCATCCCCCCATAGCTTCATTTTCTGTTTGCCTCAGCAGCCAGGATGGCAGAGCCTCCACCTACACGTGTAGATACCTCAACACAAGTGATCACAAAGCAAAGCCAGGGGCAGAGCTTTTTTCTTGCTTGCTTTCTTTTTTTTTTTCCTGGTTTAGCAAAACTGGCTTTTATTCCCCAAATGCAGAAGCCCAGCTGGCTGCCCCAAAGCTGGGGGCAGGGGTGGGATGTCAGGGGCCCAGGGCCAAGTGAGTTTTAGCCATATACACGTGGCTGTTGCAGGGCCCACGGGCTCCTCTGCTGCATCTTCTGGGAACAGAAGTGCAGGGCAGGAAAGGAAGGCTGGAGGGTCTCACCTGCTGATGGAGCCTGGTGCTGTGTTGGTGAGGAGGTCAGATGTGAACAGTGATGTGTGGGAGCTCAGTTAGGGACCCACCAACACCTGTACCTGCTGCTGCTTGCAAGCAAAACACATACACCCTGCCTGCTGTCTGCACTGCCCGTGTGTGTGCCCAGCCAGCATGTCTAAGTGGATATATATTTATATGTACATGTGTATAAATATATATAGTGGAGTGTGAGAGGGAGCTTTAGGTGCAAGTTTATCTGATAATTATAGTAGCAGCAGCAATAATAACAGTAATCATGATAATTCAGTGATGCTCATGCCTCATGAAGTTCTTCTGCCAACCTGTAAGGAAGGTTGGGAGGCAGCTGGGAGCCTGGGGGGGGTGTGGGGCTGTGGTGCTGGAAGGGGAGGAGGAGGAGGAGGAGGAGAGGGGGGCTGGGCTG